AACGACTCGACGGCACATAACAACAACAACAAACAACATTGATACATTGGAACACTATCACCCAAACTGTTTGCTCTGTTTATCATTCAGAATCACACTTGCTCTGTGCTGTTATGGCCCTCTCAATCTCCTGACTCCTTCCTCACTTTCTCATATAGGCTCTCCCGTAATAAATTCCCTCTACTTCTTATTTTGCTTTACTGTTTGCTTCTACAGAGCCAAGAGAAACTGAAGATTTTCATAAGGCACAGCTATTATACGCTGATATTGATGTGTATTGTCAAGTCAGAATGGCCCCATAGCTGACTCTCTAGTGGGTTTTTTTAGAGGCACTTAATCAAATGGGAGGAGACTGGCCATCCTTCTCCTGTGGAACAGCTGGTAGTCTCAAACCTCATACCTTCAGGATTGCAGTGAAGTTTCTTGCCAATAGGCCACCAGAGCTCCCTCATTTACACTAATCAAATAAAAAAGAAAAAAAAAAGGCTTCTTTAGTAGAGCTCTCAGATTAAGATAGACTAGGAAGCAGGATTCACCGTCCACTTCTTAAATAGCAACCTCAGTAAACCTTATGAACAGTAGAGGAACATGAATATTTCTAGTATTAAATGTAGAGTCCAGTTTGGAAGTCAATCTAAATGAGGAAAAAGAGTGGCAACCATTCTGTAATTATTGGAGAATGAAATGTACAGAGCGTGGATGTTGGAAAACTGGAAGTTGTGAAAAATGAAGTGGAATGCACGAATATTGGCATTCTAGGCATTAGTGAGATGAGATGGACTAGCTTTAGTTACTTTGAATCAGGTAACCACGTGGTATACTATGTTGGGAATGAAAACAGGAGATGACTGATGTATTTAGAGTAAACAAGTAAATTTCAAGTTCTATCCTGAAGTACAATAAAGTATGTGATAGGATACTATCCATATCAATAACATATTATCTATATCCATAACAAGGAAGACCTGTTATTATGACTATTTTTCAAACCTACAGCTAATCCTGAAGAGGAAAGAATTGAAAATGTTTACCAAATCTTGCAATAAGAAACTGACAAAACATGCAATCAAGATGTGTTGATGATACTTAATGACTAAAATGCAAAAGTTGGAACAATGAAAAACGAATGGTAGTAGGAAAGTAGGGACTTGATCACAGAAATGAAGAATGATATATGTGAAATATTTGTTTTCATTGCAAATACCTTTTCTTTTTAAAAAAAAATACAAACCAAACACAAATCGTGACTTCACACATGGACCTCAACTGATGGGCTGTATAGAGCTCAGATTGATTACATCTGTGAAAAGAATCAATGGAGCTCAAATTAGCTTCAAAACTAGGCTAAGAGTGGGCTGTGAAACATACTATCAATTACTCATGGGCAAGGTCAAATTAAGGCAGAAGAAAAGAAAAAATAGTTCTTGAGAACTGAAATATTATATTAACTATATTTCGTCTGAATTTCAAAACCATCATAAGCATAAGTTTGCAGCATCAAGAGGCCAAAACAAAGGTAAAAGATGCCAAAAAAAGAAAGATGAGAAATTTTCAAAGGGCAGCTCGTGAAGATAAGAGTATTATAATGGAATTTGCAGAGAACTGGAAATGGAGAATAAAGAGGGAAGAAAACAGTCTGCATTTCTCAAGTTGAAAGAACTGATAAAATCTTTAAATCTTAATTTGCAATATTGAAAGACGCTATGGGCAATATATATTGAATTATTCAGGCAACATCAAAGTAAGATGTATGGAATGCACAGAGTTACTGTGCCAAAAATAATTGATGGACACTGAAAAATTTCAGGAAGTATCATATCAGCAGGAGCTAATGGTAATGAAGGAAGAAATTGAAGCTGCACTAAATGCTCTGGAAAAGAAATAAAGTTACAGGAATTTAGGGGATACCAGTTGACATGTTTCAGCTAACAGATGCAGCTCTGGATGTGTTCAGTTTATCCCAGGAAATTTGGAGGACAGCTGTATGGCCAACTAATTGGAAGATATCAATATTTGCTCCCATTCCCATGAATGTCTAAAAAGGAGGAAATGGAGGCACAGGGTCAAGAATATCTCTCTGAAGGGGCCAAAGGGAATACGAGTAACACAGCCCCTCACTTCTTCAGAGTAGAAAACAGTTCAGGAGCATGTAACCCATCCCCATGGGGTTTGTAGAACTCTACTAACCTCAAGAGTTTCTTCACAGCCAAATCATAGACTCACACTAATGGTATCTGGAATGGAGCTTACAAGGGAAAGAATTTGGAGCATTTGGGAAGCAAAGAATATCACAGTATCACCCCAAATAAGTCCAGGTTTTAGCCAAACAGTTCCAATGCACAACTCCTCCTCAGTTAGGTCAGGCTTTGTTGAATTCAACAAGCAGCCTTTCTTTCCATCATCAAATGTAAGAACAGCAAAATCCTTTAACTGTGGCCAGCACATATGCAAGTAACCTCAGGTCACACCATGCCACAGTAATGCTAGTCTGCCTACTACCAAGGTTTTTCTCTCACCAGGGTCTTGCTTGTCACCAGTTTTTCTAACTTTAAATATTGCTCTCCTCAAGCCTTACTTTGAGTCTTTCTCACCTCAGTCTTGCTGTTTAGTGTGGGAAGTACTCTCTCATTTATCTTAATACACAGCCAATGGTGATTTGCAAGATCATGCTATTTTACAAGACTATGTACCTACAGTTAAGGTAGCTAGAGACCAGAACTTAAATGGCTGGGGGGGGGGGGAAAAAGCCAACTATTACTCTCACATCACAGGTGATCCAACAGAAAGTGGAAACTATTGAACAATATTATTAATGTACCATACAAACAAAATACTGCTGAAGATCACTAAAAAATAGTTAGAAAGGTATATAGATAGTATACCAAAGAAAGAATTTTACTTTTTAAAGAGAGGAGCAATCTGGGTGGGGAGGGCTGAGCAGGAAGAAAAGTGCAACAATGAATAAATGGAAATCCAAATTCTCTGTGAATGTTCATTAAAATTAATAAAAAAATGGAAGAAAGGGGAAAAACATACATAGATAGGGAATTTCTAGAAGTTCAAGAAGGATTTAGAAGATGCTGTGGCACCAGGGATATTGTTGTTTAGATAGATATATTTTTGTGAAAGTAGACGATATCAGAAGAATGTCTATTTATGCTTTATTGACTATGCAAAGGCATATGGATGTGTGGATCATAACAAGTTATGAGGACCATTTAGAAGAATATGAATCTCAGAACTGTGCTCATGCAATCTCAGAATTTTGCTCATACAAAACTCACACTTAAACCAAGAGGCTATTTTGTGAACAGAGCAAGGGGACAATCTATATTTTAAAATTAAGAAAGGAGGGTGTCAAGGTTGTATACTCCCTCCAGATATAGTCAAGTTGTATGCTGAGCAAATCATTTGAGAAGCTGGAACCTATGAAGAAGAATGTAGAATCAAGATCAGAAGAAGATTCATCAATAACCTTCATTACGTAGATGACACCACTTTGATTACTGAAAGAGAAGAAGATCTGATACACTTGTTGCAAAAGATCAAAGAATACAGTCTTCGATATGAACTGCATCTCAACATCGAGAAAAAAAAATTCTTACCACTGGACCAATAGGCAACATCATGATAGAGAGTTGATTGAAGTTGTCAATTATTTAATCTTGTTTGGATACTCTTGGTTTCATCAGTCGGAAAATCAGGAGATAAATTGCATTGGGACTATCTGCAGTCAAAGACTGTCCAGAGAGCCAAAAATGGGACATGAGGGCATAAGGCCGTATCTTTATGAAAAGGCAAGAGAGGGCGAAAATAGCAGAGCCCCTCACCACCCCAGAGCAGAAAATAGATAAAGAACCTATATTCCTGTCTTGTGGTGCTTCTAGAGCCACAGCAGCTACAGCAGGAGCTTTGTTCATTTGTTGTTGACTAACAGAGACTCACAGTTGTGGTACTGAGAATGGGGTTTATTAGGGAAGGAAGTTGGGTGTAGGGGCAGGCAAAGAATATCACACAATGCAAATCCAAGTTTTAGTCCAGCAGTCTCAATGTACAATTCCTTTGCAAGTCCAGTCTCCGGTTTCAGTTCAGCAAGCAGCTTTTCCTTCCATCATCAAAGAAAGTACAGCAAAACCTTTAACTGTGACCAGCACAAATGTAAGAAGCCCCAGGTCACACCCTGCCACAGTTTCTCTATAGCAACACCAGGGTCTTGCTCCAGACTTCGTCAAGGCTTCCACATATGAAGTCTTGCTTCCACAAGTTTTGCTACTCAGTGTAGAAAGCATTCTCTCTCTTATCCTAGTCATGCAGCTGTTCATCATTTTCAAGGTAATTGGAGATAAGAGGGGGTTTAGTATAATGGCTTAGAAAGACAACTGTTAGGCTAACATTGCAGGGACTTCTAATTAATTATTAAGGAGCAATGATTTCAGTTTGAGGACCAAGGTGCATCTGATTAAGGTCATGGTCTTTCCACTTACTGTGTGTCTAAGAGCTGATAAGTGAATAAAGATGGCAGAAGAATTGGTGGCTTTTAATTGTGGTGTTGGAGAAGATCATTGCATGTTCCGTGGATTGCCAAAAGAATAAGCAAATAAGTGTGGAGAAAATTTTGCAGCCAGAGTGCTCCTTGAAAACAAAGATGAGAAAATTCATCTCATATATTTCAGGCATGGTGGTAGCACAGGCTACTTCTTGGACAGGAACATCATGCTTGGAAAGGTGGAGGATCCATGAAAGACAGGAAAACCCTCAAGAAGATGCGTTGAGACTGTGGTGCTGCAATGGCCTGTATCTAGTGTGTCAGAAATTGTAAGGATGACACTGGATAGCACAGAGTTCAGACGCCATAGGGTTACTCTGGGTTGTATGAATCTTGACAGCACATAACAAAAACAATAATAATATACACTGGAATTTAACGCATAATAAACATCAGTGTATGATATCCCTTTAGTGGTTCAAGAAATCAATGTAGAAAATAATTTTTTCACCTCTTAGTGAGTGGACCAACAGCTAATCAGGCTGGCACCCCTGCCGATTAAAATGAAGGGGCTAAGAGTGGCATAAGAGAGATCAAGAAGCATTTTACCCTTTTTTATTATGGAATTATTTGTGAAGAATGAACCAATGAATAGGGAGAAAATGAAATCTGCCCAATAAAAGAATAAGAAAGAAGACATGAGAATGAGGACACTTTGAGTAGCTCTGATCTCTGGGCTGGTTTTACTGATTTTTGTAAACCTGGTTCTCTGAAGGTAGAGGACGTGCTTGTGATGTTTATATAGACGAAAAGCCATGTAGCCACTGCTCCAGCCCATGAGACTCTGAAAGATGATGTCTCTCAGAGCCATGAGAGTGAGGAAAATCCACCTAACTACCATCTTGGATGGAAGCATATAACAGTAGTCATGAGTGTATCTACTTCCAGATCTGCTTGCATTGTTGACTGTTGTGATGTAGTAGAGCAAGTTAGAGCTGATCAGGGAATTGCATATCCAGAAGAGGAGGAGACAGGGAACAATATGCTTTGTAATCCACAGTTTGAGCTTTGTCCATGTGGGGGTTGTGGGACTGATGGTGATGGCCTGAAACACACTGAGGAGGCATGTGGTGCAGATTGACAGTCCCCGGCCCACTCTCTCCAAGAAAAACACAGTTTTACAACCAACATTACCTAGGAAGTTTTGGAGTTGTAAAGCTGATATTGCATACACATTTCCTGTGGTACAAAGAGTCATTGAATTTGTCAAAGCCAGGTGTGTGAGAATAAGGTCTATGCTTTTCTTCTCAGGACCCTTGACAAACATGCACACATGCTTCACAAACACAAATAAGTTCCCTCCAATTCCAGGACCAATAAGAGAAAAACAGAATATTCTCAAGATGAAGTCACTCCAATTCATCCTTTTATGTCCTGGAAAGAACCAGAAAAAAACCTTTTGAGAAATACAAGTGAGTAAAGATGACAGTTATCAGGTCTGTGGCACTTCTCTGATTTTCTAAATTGAAAAGGACAGCTTGAGTACAAATGCTTAGTCATGTACATTCTGTTTATTCAAAATTATATTTAGGCTACCAATGACTGTTGTGCTTTCAGAGACAAATACATACTTACAGAAGGAAATGGCTCTAAAATCTGTGCATACTGCCTTTTCTTTCTCTTCTATGTTTCACACTATGCATCTGAAGCTCCAATGTCACTTTCTCTGTATTTCACATGTCTGCACTACAATTACTAATATTTTGCCATCAAAACCTCAATTCTATGTCTGTATTTTATAACATGTAGTCAATTATTTGTTGGCAATTGCTGTGTATTTATTCTTCTTTCCTTTATCTCCTACATCCATTCAATTCCACATTTTGGATATAGACGGTCTCCTGTTGAACTCCTTAGCAACCTTTGTTTCTTTCTCCCTGTGGCCTCTTGTGTTGGCTGGCAGAAGTTCAGGCAGGAATGATATTTTAACTATAAAACTGCTTTTGAGCTCTAAGAGAGAATCTTCTAGCAAAAACATAAGGCCTCTCCCTCTGCATGTGGAAAATGCAGGGCAGTAATTGACTAAAATGGTAGGATTAGTTTCCTTCTCTGTCTGATAATATTCCTGTTATGCAGTACTTGCTCCATTATCTTTATGGGCTGGTGGTTAGCTGAAAGGTTTTGTTTGTTAGTGAGACTGTATTGTAGGTTTTGTTCACCTGACATATATGCTTTCTTCTTTCTTTAACTTCTCTCAGTGAGAATAGCATTTTCACTCTCAGAATCTACTTCTAGAGAATATAGCTATCATAGATAATTTGTTTACATGATTACATTTGTTAAATATTACATTTTCTCAATGAGAAATGCTACTGAAGTATCACAGCATTATCATAGGTACATTCCCTTTCACTTTTTAAGACTTGGCCAGCACATTGTTTACCAGACTAAGGTTTCATAACAAAAACCTGGTTATTTGAATTCACTCTTCAAAATTCCTTACTGGCTTTGCATCAGTTCAATCATGTTTGGCTCCTTTTGATCTTTGTTGTTATGTGCCATCAAGTCACCTGTGACTCATAGTGGCCCTATGTACAACAGCTCTGAACCCTCCTCTATCCCGAGTCATCTTTATTGTCACTGACACACATACACCCGTGACCCCAGTCACTGAGTCAGTCCATCTCATCCAGGGTCTTTGTCTCTTGCACTCTCCCTCCACCCTCCCAAGCTTAATGTCCCTCTCCAAAGGACTGTTCACTCCTTGCTATATGGCCAAAGTGTGTCAGACAGAACTTCAGAATCCTTGCCTCCAAGAAGCAGCCTGGTTTCACCCTCTCCAGGACAAACCTATTTGTTCTCCTAGCAGTGCATATATTCAATGCTCTTCTCCAGCACCACACAGCTCACAGGCATCAATTCTCCTTCTATCATCCCTAGTTACTGTCCCTCTTTCTGACACATAGCACATAATTGTGAAGACAATGGCCTGGTCAGGCACACTTTAGTCTCCAGACTGATACTGTTGTTCTTCAGTACTCTAGGGATTTCCCTGTTAGCAAACTTTCCCCAATACATTTTTTTTTCTTTTGATTTCCTGGCTGCTGCTACCAAGGGAGTTGATTGTAGAACCAAAGACATCTTTTCACTTTATATCATGATGCTGTCAATTGGACCAAGTGGTAAGAATATTTGTTTTCTTGATGTTGAGCTTCAATTCAGATTGAAGGCACCAGTCCTTGACCTTCTGCAGCAAGTGCTTCAGGTCCTCCTCAGTTTTAGCAAGCCAGGTTGTATCATCTGCATAATGCAAATTGTTGATGAGTCTTCTTCCCAACCTCTCAGATGATCTGTTCTGCATATACAGTGAAAAAATATGGAAATAGGACACATCCCTTTATCCTCCTTACCGTTTGAACAAACTTTTACTAAACTGTTAAGCTACATTCAACTCGCTATGAAAATTGAATCTTTCCACATACCTTATCCCCTGTTTTATGCATAAATTCTATGTGCTCGTGGTTTCTCACCTCTTATCCTTTGGAAATTTGTTTAGACGTACTTTTTAAAACAAGCATTCACATATCCAATCAGGCTTTGGTGCCAGTCTACATACGTTCTTCTTGCAGTTGTCTCGGAGATTTTTGAGAGACTCAGTTCTCTGAATTTTCTCTCTTAATGTCTGATTCTATACCTGTGAAATAATGTTTAATAAAGAGCATATAAAGAAATAAGCAAGTGAGGGGTGAGTGATTGTAAAAGATTATGTTAAGTATAGATATAGTATTAAGGGCTTATTCTGATGCTTATTTGAAGAAATTCTTTCCCTTCATGAATGTAAAATTAGTATGATCTTAAGTCAAACCACACTGGCAGACACCTTCATTTAGAGTCTTCATTGTCTCTTAGATTCAGATGCAAAGATGAGTTTGAATTGTAAGGATTCCTTTCATGTTATAAACTCCAGTGTATCATATGAACTGTCTCTCTCAGGGTGTATAAACTAGCACGTTTTACCTACTTCTGAGTAAACAGTTGTTATTTTACAGATGCATCACTCTGAGAGGTACGAGTAGTAATTTTGGAATGCAAATTTATTCTTTGGCATACAGAAGATACAACTAGTAATGCTAATACTTTCCTGTTGGTTTTGTTTGATTTATGTAGTATATGATGAGGAATGAGCTGATAAATACACCTCGTGTCTCTGGTTATGATAATTGATCATCATAAAAAACCTGACCAAACTCTTACCATAGAATTAATTCCAAATCCTAACAACCCTATATAAGATAATATGTCACGTATATTTGTAAAAAATATTTTATAACATTTAAACTCTTCACATTTAATGATCAACTAGAGGGAATCTATCCTAAGGAGGCCATTGAAGTGTCTTCTTGCTTTTGTGTTGGAGGATCTTCATATGAGAGGGCTAATGTGATTTTTCTCAAGTCTACAAATAATTTTATGTCAAGTCTACCTTTCATATCAGGAAGGAGAATTCTGAACAAAATTGAACCTGAATTATCATCATATATGTTTTGCCTAGGCGCTCTGGTGGCCAAACAAGTTTCTATTCAAACCAATGTAAGCAGTTCAAAAACAACAGATACTCCTCTGGAGAGAGATGGGCAGTCTCTTCCTGTGCAGTGTAGTGTATGGCCTCTGAGAACCGGCTGATGGGTTCTTACTGAGAACTCAGTTCCTCCTCAGTAGTACTTAGCAACTGCCATGGCAACTAACAACAACAACAACAACAACAGTACAATGGGTTAGAACTGTCCTCTTAGGGTTTATAACGCTGTAAATCTTTACACAGTCTGTGTGATACATCTTTTTCCTGTTGGGATACTGGTGGGTTAAAACTTCCTACCTTTCTGTAAACAAACTAGGTTTTGTATAATGTCCGTAAGAGAAAAAAATAAATTTTCTGATAATTTTTGTCATTGGATTTTCCTCCAATACAATGATGGTTGTTTTTTTTTTTAAATGAACTTGTTTACAAGTCTAAGAATTTATTACTCTAGCAATCACAGAGTCCCGAGAGAGTAAAACTTCCTGATGTCTGTGATTGCATGAATCTGAGCTGCATTATGTGACTAGACCTCCGTGGTTCTATCTGTGATTTGAGGCTGAGAGCATATGTGTTCTTTTCTTACAGTCTGTTTTTTCATTTTAAAATTGAGTTTGGTATGATACAAACTATGGATTGCTTTTGTATAGAATATTTTCTTGAATGCCTGTCTCTTATATCAGATAAAAAAGCTGAAGCAATTGTGGTCATGACAGATCCTCTTTATCACTCATCCCTCAGTAGGCTCCAAAGGATGTAAATTACATGTGTGTAAATGGTGTATACAGCTGCTCGTTAATCAGAGCTCCCTGATAAATTATGCAAAACTAAAGTAGTAACTGATGGAACACTAATAAATTATATAAATGAAAGACAGAGTGTCTGATTTGGTGAAGACATGACAAATGTGAAGAAGGCATCTCTTTCCTCATTGTTCCAATCACATTGCTTTCTGCTTACACAGTCTTTGTGACCATCCCTTTTATTTTTCCTCTAATCCTTCCCTCCCAATTCAATTTATCCCCCTCTGCTTCCCAGATCAACTGCCCTGCTTACTGTCCCAAGAGTAGCAGCAAGAACATTCAGAACATTTATTCCTAATCATTGCATCTGGAATGTACAACTGTGCAGAGTTCACAAGAACTATCTTGGACCAAATTATCTGAAGTTCAAATGTGATAAATCCAATTCCTATCTGCATATTACTTGTCCTTTCTATAATCCAGCTCCTTCATTTGTAAAATGAGAGCGTGTATTACACTATGTTAGTCTTCTCTGAGGTTTAAGAAAGTGTGGTTTTGGATGGTGCACCTGCTTATTGTTGGAAAGTACTTTCTAAAAAGAAAGTATTAAAAATAGATACTTTTCAATGTACATTTTTAATTTCTCAGAAAATTTCTTTGAAAGTCTATTAGCTTTGGAACTGAGTGTAAATTTAAAGAAGTAATATACATTAAATTATAAATATTGGATAAACTGAATTTTAAAGAAAGCAATCTAACATGCCCTATAGTGAAAAGACTGAAGGGCAACAGAAATGAGGAAAAACACTTTGGTAACAATTGCTCCTGTTACGAGGGCAAGTGCACAAATGTGTGTGTGTGTGTGTGTGTGTGTGTGTGTGTGTGTGTGTGTGTATACTGCTCCTGGAAACTCAGGGCAAAATGACATGGATATTCTGTGTAACCTGTGCATTCTTCACCTGCGCATAAGTGCACAGCTAACGGCACAGTGCACCAAGCATACTTTTATACCAAAGCACAACACAGCAGTGAATATTACTTGTTAACAGCAGAGAAATTATGAGCTGCCCTCTCAGTAATTCCTGAAATTTTATTTTTCTACAT